ACGAAAGATGTCTATCCGTCGAGAATATTAATACTTCAAAGACTTCGATAGAAGCCCGTTAATATACTTCATTGTGGATTGAAACGGTTTGCATCAGATATATTTACGTATGCATTTCCTGTTTAAAATCACTAACGTGTTATTATACTCATCTGAAGTATCGAAAATAACGAACGAAAGATGTAAACATAGGACGACGGAAGTTTCAAATAATGCATTTTCGTCGTGACGTCAATGTTACGTTACGACGACGATCGAGCGTCTTATCTTCACGCAACGACGTGATTACGTCATCCGCATCGGAAGCCTCTTTCTCTCTGTGCGTCGCGGTTACGCAGACTGTCCGAAGTTAGGGCAGTGAAGGATAACGGTCAGATGGCAAGAAATATCGATTATTTCAATAGTAAAAATAGTCCAATTGAACCGAAATTTGCAGGGAATGTAAATTACCGCACGAATGTTTTACCGAGCAATTTTGGCACCGTTTGGACAATAAATGGCCGAGTTATTGACGAAAAAATAGTAATTTTGTCCGAAGTTAGGCGCTTTTACGGTATGTTATTTCTAACCCTCAGCTGACTATGCCATCCAAAAATTACACCACTACGACGTCACCATCACGTCATAGGGCTTGCCAAAGTATAATTACGATCGCCCGAGATGGCATCTGCGCCGCCGATAACGAACTCGCTAAGGCCGGCGATGTCCCTCCTGTCGTTGTGACGAGAAAACAAGAGAAAGAGCTTGCTCGATTTCGGGTGATCGTCTGCGCGTTTTGGACGATCATTCGCATACCGTAAAACCGGCTAACTTCGGATGCCTTGTAACTTCGGATGAAATTTTCAATCATTCATATCTCAACTAAATTTCGTCGTATTGCGCTCCTGTCGGTTTCTATAGTAAGGCCTTACATATCTGAATCTGCCGTAGCCTCCAATCGCTCGATTTGATTTTTATCATTCAAAAAATCATATTTTACCCAAAAAAAATGACACCGTTTTTTGTCGAGCGGCTCAAATCGTGACTTCTACAGACGCTACTTCGTCAAATCACCGCAAGCGCTAGAGAGCGAACACAATGTATACAAAAAATACAGTGATCACAAGGTGTCGTACGAGATTCGAGTGAAATCGATTTATTTGATTTAAAAATTACATCAAAATATCGACGTTTTGATGATTACGTACAGCGTGACGTCAACGACGCAAATCCCGTTCTCTCTTTTCGTAGCCGACGTCACTTTGCGTTCCGGTTCGCTGCGACATTACTCGAACGCCAGACATCGCGGCGCCCAGTTTTGTGAAATTTAAAATTATGCTATCCATGATCCTATCACTAAATCCTACCAAAAACATCACTATCGTCTCAGTCATATGTTGTTTATTCAAAAATATGGGTATGCATACGCTTAATGATATGAAATTTGTCGATTTTTCTGTTTTTGCATACTTCCTCCGACACCGATAGATACCGTAGCAATTGGTATACGTTAGGCCTGAAACATGTATCTATACGATCATATGATTAGATATGTCTGTTTACGATCAGCAGATGATATAATATCTTTAACAGAGTGAGCGTAGAACTCTACATACATGCACACAGCAGAGGTTGGACCACATACAGGTGAGGCGCAAAATGAAAAAAAGTGGCAAAGTTTCTTTTTGCCGTTTTTATCCGTTTATTGTCATTTGACTTTATTAAGTGAAACGAAAGCGAAGGATCGAAAGTCACACCGGGCAGGAACCTCTGCCGAGCCGATCAACGGGGAGCTCTGAGAAAATCAGAAAATATGAAAAGTGATAATCAAGACGAAACCTGCTCTGCTTGTGGATTATGGAATGATCCAAATGGAAGTACGGAAATTGAGGATGAATGGGTCGGTTGCGAAAGCTGCAGCGAAACACATTGGTTCCACAAGAACTGTTGCAAAGACCCGTCTAACCCATGTGGAAATGATTACAATTCTTGATTTTGCCAGCGTTTCCTTCAATTCATCTGTTTATTTTTAAATGTCGATTTTTTGTTTATACCTTACTTGTTCCATATTGCTTTTTGATTTCAATTTTTACTTTTGCCAGTGTTTTATTCGATTCATCCGTTTATTTTTAATTGTCTAATTTTTGTTCATTCTTTACTTGTTCCATATTGCATTTCAATTTCAACCTACACCAGTGTTAGGTACTTTCAATTCTTCCGTTTTTTTTTTTTGTTAATCCTTTTCTTGCATTGAAAATAAACGATCATAAAAGAACGAACTAGCATTTTGCAATAAATTAGGAGTAGTTAGTGAAATATATACGAGTTATAATAAAGGACACAAGAATAAATAGTTAAGCTTCGCGAAGCGGCAAGAGTAACGTCACGTACAAACGTCAGTATTCAACACGCAAGACAGGTCGTGCGGCGTAAGGTCTATTCAGCGACGTTGTCACGCGTCATTGCTTACGCAGACATTTCTCTCTCACGACGAGTTGACGCAAAGAGAAAAGTGGCCATCCGAAGTTAGATAATTTTAGAATAGACGAATAAAGACAATAATTTCAATGAAAAAAGGCTTTGATGGATATGGAACCGACTTTATCAAGACGAGAATAGCCACAATGTATTATATTCCAAATTTGGCTTCAGTTGAACAACATGCGGCGGAGATATTGTTCAAAATATAGTGAAATCATCCGAAGTTAGCCGGTTTTACGGTACTCTGGTGGGCCTTATTACGCCACAGTGACGTTAAAAACTTAAAATGACGTAATTTTTGGGTGACTCAGTCAGGTGAGGGTTAGGAATGACATATGCAAAAATTGTTTAGCCAGGCCAACTAGAAGTACATGTGGTACTAAACTATACCAGACCCCGGTACCGTTACGGTACCTACCTGTCTGTACAGGTAACTCCGGCTCAGACTACTTTCTCGTCTTTTTTGCATTCTGTATTGCATAAATCATTGTATTGGGTATTTAAGAGAGCTGTGATCTGCCTTCATATACGAATTTCCTAAATCCAAAACACTGGAGCAACCTAACATATCTCACAATATTGGGATAGAGCTGTGAATGAGTCGCTAAAACAACTGTTCAGGATTTTTTAAATTACTCCTACGCGGAAAAATTACATCTGGATAAAAATAGGATAGGATTTACATATTTATCCCGGGGGAGAGGAGAGCCGATAAGACGGCTTATCCATATGGCGAACCACAACCTCTCGTCCGGTTACCATTCCAAGTCGGGTATGGGATTAGTTGTATTGTCTGTTTTCGGAAGCATGGACTTGGTGGTGGAGGAAGCCGTAACCGACCAGCGGGTACATGAACCACCCAACGACGGCGAGGAGTCCAGCAATCCTCTCGCACATACCCATCCCTGCATGGGATTCAAACCTGCGAACCCACGCAGAGTAATCAGAGGTGCGGTGGCGAGCGTATTCCTAACGCTTAGCCCGTTGAGCCACACCGCTGCGCCAAACACAATTTTGTTTTAATCATTTAATTATATGCTGTTTGGTATAGTCGCGAGATTTCACAAAATTTAATTTTTACACCGTGATAACTTTTTTCTTGCGATATATGCGCTATTGTCATTTGCATATCATGCTCTGATGAAGTACCGTATGTATATAAATTCAAAACGTCGGCAACTGTTTCACTTTATTTCTCCTCCATATGAATACCCTTGGTGACAAACATACGCTATCATACTGCTGAATACAAATCAACTGTTCAAAGTTATTTTTGAAATGTTTGCGCGACGGATCAATTAGCACTTTTGGTTGTGATATGGCCGACTAACCATTGTCACGGAAAGAAACAAGAAAGTTAAGCAATGACAGATGTAATAATAAAATTTTAATTTTTAAAAAATACTGCCAGATATTCATTACAAAACAAAGACACAAGGAAGTCAAGACCCGAAGACCCATTTAATTTATTTTATGCCTGATGTAATTTTTTCCTGGTAGAATTAATTTTACATAAAAAAATACTAGAGTCTAATAGTACTGTAGTGATATCTTTGGCAAAACACTGTACGATATTTCCAAAAGAGTCTACCCCCAGCTAGAAAACTCTGCAATAAGTACTTTAAGAAAAAAATGCTTGATAAATAAGTGCGAAAATGAATCACGGCAAATATGAGAAGCACTTCCAATAGAATGGAGAGAGATTTTATCAAAGAATAGGGAATTTGGTCAAACAAGAATATTAATTGATAGGTACAATGGGTCGAAAGACTTAACCACTAATCAAATTTATAGGATTTTACAAAGTAAGAAAAATGATACATTTTTGAAAAACCATAAGGAATACATCTTAAATAAATTACACCTAACTAAGGCAATTAATTGGAGTAAAATATGGAAAAAATATTGGAAACAAGTATAAAGAGTTATGTTGGGAGATAATTCATATTGGGTTGCCCACAGGAGATAAAATAAAACACTGGTTCATTGATGAACCAGGAATATGTGTTCTATGTTTAAATAATATTGAAGAAACTGTGTGTCATTTATTTTTAGAATGTGACTGGTCTATTGATTTTTGGCAATGGTGTTGCATAGATATTAATCAAAATACTTGCAAATCAAAATTAATCACAATAATATGCGGAAAATCAACAATTTGGGAATATCGAAATTCAGTAAAATATGATGAAATAGATAAAATGAAAAGTAGTATGCGTTCAATTTTCAAGTGTAAACTGGTAGGGATTTTAAATTTACTAAAAGCAAGCGAAAGAAATGAAATATTGTTATATGAGCACATGCATGATCTTATACATAGGTCAATCATGATGTAAGTTTATATGCAGCACCATACTGTGAAAATTATTGAAAGTATGTTATTTGTACATCATTTTCATAAGAGGATGATGTATTAACTATGGAACATAGATGGCGAATAGGAAAAACCCAATACAAAAGCGTGGATTTTTCCATATTCTCTGTGTGATTTTTGTATTCTTGTTATATTTTTCATGCTAATTAAAAATAAACTGATTACCAGTAAATTAAAATTATATACAACTAATTGCTGAGTGGATTGCATGTGGATTAACTCAATGTTTTGGGCATATATTGGATTATATTAAATTAATGACATCGTGGTAATGGTATGAATTTTGTCTGTATTTTGATTTTTCCTATTCATATGTATTGGGGGGAATAGGATTTAAATTAAAAAACGAAAACATGGAAACAAAAACTATGTATTTAAAATAAAGTGAAAATTCCGTTGGGCATTGGAATTTATTTGGCACAAAAAAAAAATCGTATCATAGTTATACATTTGACTTCTTTCTGCATACGTGAGTCAAGTTGATCTTTTGTCTTGGAATCAGGTAATTCGAATATAAAAGCTGCTCTCCAAATACTCAAACATTGATTTACTTAATATAGAAGTCAAGAAAGATGAGGACAGTGTGAAGGGGAGACGGACAACCCACCAGAGACAACTCGGCTACAGAGAGACCTGGTGAGTTGTTTGTCTTTTTGCATTTTCTACGGCGCTGTTTTAGGTCTATAGAAATGTGATTTTTCATAATTTTTAGGCTCAACTGTTGAGAAAAATAATGTATATTCTCTAGAAAATCTTTTTGTTTGTATAAGTTTACATTGGATCGTTTTGTAGTTAAACTAATTATGCTCTTGTTATTGTTACTGTAGTATTTTTTCTTCTGTTGTGGAAAAATAGCGTTTCTCAATGGCGACTGGACCGATTGCTTTGAAATTTTCAATGGTTCAAAGATAGTATTTGTAGCTAAAAAAGCCATTAAAGTAAAGCTATAAAGCTATTACTTTTATTATTTATTAGTATTATTATCTGTGAGATTTGTCATTTTGTGTGGAATGACATCATCAAAATTAAAAATTTAACACTTGGTGACTGACTTGTGGCGCTTTTGTTGCTTTTTGACATTCAGGTGAAGACTGCGAACTACGTACTGGTAGTAGACAGATTGTATACATACCTGCAAACGGTATCAAATATTCCCAGAGTTTCGCGTAGAGTCACCCTACTACTACTTCGTTTTGGCCTTTGTGTACATATATTTGATCGTTTTTAGTGTAGGCGATAGTCAGTGGTGCGAAGTATAGAAAACATACAATGATTTTTCAGATATTCCTAACTATGGAAAATTTTACCGAAATCACAGACTCCACCGAAAACGTATTTCCCTGCCTTATCTGTGATGAAAACTTTCCATCAGGGCCCAGTTTGGAAAAGCATATGTTTTTGCACATTAATGATGGAACTGGAGATTTATGCGAATATGCAACCAACAACATTGTGGGAAATAGTCAGCTTACCAACTCCTGAGAAGCGTTACGGAAAAGACATTATCAGTAAAACTTCTTTACAAAGAGGTGGCGAAGAAAAATGTCGAGAAAGGGGTTTGAGTGATGAAGCTGAAACTGGAAAATCAGTTGTGTGCGATTGAATGTTACCAGGGTCAAATTTACAAACCAGCAGTAGAGATGAAACCTTTGTTTGTCAATAATGTGGAAAGAATTTCAAATCAGAGTGGCATTTAAATGTGCATAAGCGAACTGGTGAGAAACCTTATGTTTGTAAACAATGCGGAAAGTGGTTTTCGTAATCATCTCATTTACAAGAGCATAAGCGAACTCATACAGGAACAAAACCTTATGTTTGCAAACAATATGGGAAGTGTTTTTCACGATTATCTCATTTACATAGGCATGAGCGAATTCATATTGGAGAGAAGCCTTATGTTTGCAAACAATGTGAAAAGGGTTTTTCACAACTGTAACTGTCTAGTTTACAACAGCATAAACAGTATCCTTGTACACAATGTGAAAAGAGTTTTTCAGATTTAATAAATTTACGTGCGCATGAGCGAACTCATACCGGAGTGAAACCTTTTGCATAATTTATGTTTTCAATGTTACAAAAGGAGATCGCATGCCTCCAATTTCTGGTCAAAAAATTACACCCCAACATACGTTCTCAGCCCTGCACCATGTTTCTAGGATTACTGACTCAGCATGTGATACTGAATCGATCTAACCTAACTATTGGGAGAAACCTTATAGATTCGATTTCATCATGGCAGAATAGTAGCAGCACGTTTTGAACTGGCCATATTTAATACCAAACATAGTGCATTTTTTGGTACTTTTAAGGAAAATATATATAAATGATAATTAAAATTGGTTTTGTACTTCCACTAAAATCACTAAAAAGTTGAACAATTATCTTTTTCAGTTGCTAATACACCGGTATTGAACGTCGGAGAGAATAAAATAGAAAAAACATTTTACGCCTCCTCGTGGATTATTTTGGAAATTTCGAAAAATTTCAGCATAACGACATATTGGGAGCCAGCATAACGACATATTGGGAGAAAAGAAGAAACCTTTTAGATTAGATTTCATCATGGCAGAATAGTAGCAGCACGTTTTGAACAGCATCTTGGTGCACATACTTCTGGAAAGCCAGTTTCATTTAGCAATCTACAATTTTCAGCTTTACAAACTAAGTGGTTACATACGTATTTGATTTCAGTTAACTTCTGGTATTAAAAAAATAAATTCATCTAGGTCAGGCCTGCACAACTCAAACTACCACGAGGGCCGCAAGCATAAATCTGAAAGCCCGGCGGGCCGCAAACTTTGCCACATACATATTTCACAAGATGAACTTCAAATCAAAATAATATTGTGAAACAGTTAAATTTGATGAAACACTTTCATTACTGGAAAGCTTAAAAGCTTCTTGAGTATTTAGTGGTTCATCTACCTTGAAACCCCACCCTTCATTTTCAATATTTTTTTTTATTAGAATTAGGTATTGCGTGTTGCAGTATAAACTGACTGCAGGAAAATATTTTACTTAGGTTCAGTTTTGTAAAATCGTCCCACATATAGGTATTCAGTCATATCTAACATTTTTAGATATTTCCATTGCAGGCTGGACAAACAATCCGTTTAGTAGCGATAGATCTTCCTCTGTTGTACTTTTTCGACTGTTAAATTACATTTTTCTACAAAATCTGATCCAAATTTTTGAAGTTTTACAGTAAATAGCAATATCTTTTGTGCGAGAATTTCTGCAGCATTCATGAATGAAAAAACTGTTTTTCAAGTTCTAAATTTGAAAAAGAAACTTCAGTTTCATAAACTGCTAGTAAAAAATAGTGGGGTTATTAATAGGTTGCTAATATGCACTAATGGGTGTGAGATTGTATACCGATATTGTTTTGAGCGTGATTCAGTTTGAATACCGAGATATCTAAATCAGGGTTTTCCAAACTGGGGGGCGAGAGGTTGAGCGACGAATTTTAAGGGTCGCGAAGGGCACACCAATTTTACACCAGGTTCGATATTTATTGAAACTAGTGCAAAACATAAATCTCACGATTTCTAATATGATCGAAGTAGCGGCGCGCTTGCATAAATAACAATGTAACAAAACAAAAAAACAATAACAAAGATTTGTTTCCAAATCACCCGCGGGCCGCACAGAAGTATCTAGCGGGCCACATGCGTCTCGCGGGCCGTATGTTGTGCAGGCCTGATCTAGGTTATTCTGTACAACAACACATACTATGTTCAGGTTGTGTGCCATCTTGGTGCACATACTTCTGAGCTCCCAAAATTGAATATTGTCGATATTGATTCGGCCCAAGTTTCAGAATAATAATTCAAAATGTATTTGGAATCGTACAGAATGACTAAAAATTTGAACTCTTTTTATGTATGATTGTACCGAAAAGCTTCAGTAATCCAGGACACTTTGCACAAAACTCATGTACCCGCTAGATCAGGGGTGGGCACGGTTTTTGAATCAGGGACCAAAAATTTTGCCCACCTAGACTAGCGGGCCATGTAAGTATGACTTAAAGAGTTGCATTTTATGAACAATATTTACAGTGTTTCAAAAGCAACAGTGGAAAACAATAAACCTTGTGCCAAAACTAAATTTAACCACAATATCAACAAATTCCTTAAGCTATTTTTAACTAAAACATCAAAATTTGGTTTCAGTTTGGTTGTGGCATCATCAGGCGGGCCAGATTTAATTACCAAGCGGGCCGAATTTGGCCCATGTCTGCTCTAGATTGTGCTCCAAATGTCCTTGTTTCTGTTTTTTGAAAACCCTGTCTGATTTTGGCAGATTCGAATAGAGTAATTAACCCCGGGGAACCCAGACAATGAAATAGTTGAAGGAAAAATCTGATATTTGGGATTCTTAGTCCATTTTAATCATGTTGAACAAATATTTATACCATTTTAACCTTTGACCTCATTTAACCCCCTTTTCAAATGTGACATATGTGTTACAATGGGATTTACACTGTATACAAATGTGAAAAATCTAGTCAAAACAAGTTGAAGTTTCACATTTTTATTTCAACATTGAACGAACGAACTCAAAGAGCAATATCGGCGAATCATTTGCGCTTAAAGCAAGCATGAAATAAACACTTAAAAAAACTACAGAAAAATTCCCTGAGAATAACAAATTGTTCCAATTCCTCAGGCGTGGAAGTCATAAAACAATTGCGGCCCTCGACAAAACAAAGTCTCACTTTACACTTTAAACAACTGGTATTTGTTTGATTGCGTTCACACAATTTGCATCTTCCCCTTTTCTCAATTTTCGTTGGCCGGTGTGCGTATTTGTCTCGGCGAATATCTTCACATGGGGCCTTGGAAATTTTTCCTTGAGGGGCTGCGAATTTCTTCAACTTCAGACGATGGTCTCCCGCGAAGGGTGTCAGTATTGACATGGATCAAAGCACTTGCGACTGCTGCTTGAAAATGTCTCCGTTTCATAATATATCGCGTTGTAAGATGGAGCAGAGCACAATCACGGCGGTACCAGAGCCAGGCATTCACAATAGCAACCATTATAAAATGCCAAAAGAGATTAAAGATGCCATCTTTTTGATTTCATTCGGAACCTGTACTTTGCAAGAAATGAATTCAATTTATTAATACCTCCCATAAACTTATTGTATTCTTGAACGATAGCAGGCATGGCTATGTGCACATGCTGTTTCGTTCGTCTGTCCCATCGTCTGATTTGATCAATTGGCTCCACTCCTACGTACGAAGATAGTAGTGACACTGCCCTGTTGTCATATCATTTTACGGCTATTATGTTATTGTTTTCTTCAACTCTGAAGTCATATTCCCCCTGCCTTTCTTCTTTAATGTTTTTTCATCGTCCAGGTTACAGTTGGGTAGGCGATTTTTTCTCACGGTTCCAACATACTGCATTCCCCTCTCTGATAATTTTTGGATGAGTGGAAAGCTGCTAAAAAGGTTATCAGCGAATATCTTGTAGTTTGCATGATATGGCAATGTTGATGTCAGTTGAGAACATTGTCCGCACCTTGTCCTAACTCTGTGCGTTCACCGGCACCACCCTGGTAGACATCAAAGTCGTAAAGAATTCCACTTATACCCGCTCTTCCCCAGATTTTAAAACTCCACGGATGAGGCTTACTCTTCAGGTACTGACGTATGGAACTTGTCGTGCCTTTATACTGGCACATCATCTCGTCAACAGAGTTGTATTCCTCAGCTGTAACCTGTAAGCATGCATCTCTGAACATTGATAGCCACGGACGAATCTTCCATAGCTTGTCAGAAAGTTTTTCGTTGTCAGACACAGTCAAATTGTCTACAAAATGTAGAGTTCTCAGCAATGTTTGAAAGCGGTTGCGAGACATAACTCCACTCACTGGCTCATAAAATGTTGAAGTTTCCCAATACATCCGAACACTGGGCATCTGCACTATACCCATGTGCAAATACATTCCTAATATCTGCTCAATTTCCTTTTTGTTCGTTTTGACCGAAACACCATTCTTTTGAACACTGTAGAGGTTTGTTTGTTCTGTCAGAAGTTGCAGCATTTCCTCTGTAACAAAACGTCGGAAATAACGCAATGGCGTATCTACAATCATGTCAGCTGGAGGATTTAATTGTGGACCGAGGAATGTTGCATCAGGTCTATCGAAGTGCTTCTTTTTTCACCGAAACTCATTGCGGTCGGTTGCATTTTCTATTTGGCTTTGTTTTTGATTTTGCACTCGCCAATAGAACGTCGTCGTCAGAATTTTCGGACTCAATCTGTAAAATGAAATATGACGAAATAAAAACAAAGAACAACATTATTTATTGTTTCGATCAATGAGTGATCAAGATATTTGTCAGAAGATATTTTTTGTCACTGTGAGCGATAATTGATCGTAAGCAGTTGTGTAATGCTTCTTCAAAAAAAGAAACTATGAAATCATTATTTGAAAATATTATGAACCTGGGAGCCGTTGTTTTCGTCTTTTCTGATATCGTATTCACTATCTGACCCACTACTAGTGCATCCACCATTATTATCATCACTTTCATCGCAGTTCAAAATGACAAGAATATCATCAGCATTGTACACTCTTGTGATTCCAGTTCTCCGCGAGCTGCTTGGCCCAATCGATGCCATGTTGTAGAAAAATGAATACATATGGTTAGTGGCCTGACCAAGCAAGAAAAAAGGAAGTTCAAGGCTATAATGTGAATGCTTGCAATTATTGTATCACCGGTGTCACATGCAAATTGAATTTCTCCATTTGTATGACTAATCCCGATGTGACACCGTTGATACATCAAATGTAGACCTTAGTATGTCGGGTCAGTATTCACTCTAGATTCTCAATTCATACAACATAGTAATCTATATCACGTCAACTAAGACCCCAACTCACCATTTATTTGACACCGATCGTCGTTCTTCATA